GAGGTGGACAGCGTGAGCACATGTAGTACCGTGAACACGAGTTGTACCAGCTGTGCACACAACGGGCACGGGAGCTTCTGTGGAAGGAGCAACACGGGCCTGTCTGCACAAGGAAAGAAGGGGGGCAGGGCAGGAGGGAGAAGGAGAGAGGAAGAAAGAAGAAGGGACGGGCGTCATTTACAACCCAGCCCTGCGGGGAAGATGGACGACACTCCACCGCCAGCTCCCACTCGGTCCCCACGTGTGCATGAGTTCATCCAGTCATATTAGTCACCTGCCATTCTCTTCCATGCCTCTGACATCCCCAGCACATGGCATCCCCACCCCCGCCCCATTGTGCAGGTGAGGAAACTGGAGCTCCACGAGGGTGGGGACTGGCCTAGAGTTATGGCCTGTGACTTCAAGCCAGGCCTTGGGCTTCCCTTACTGGGGACAGTGTCAAAGAAACAGACATGCACTGGACTCATTTCTAGCATCAGGTTTGGGGACAGGCAAAGGAATCCAACAAGATGGCGGAATAGAGGGTCTGGGCTGCCCCCCACCAGGATGCCCTCCTATGGAGCAGGCCTGTTTTTAGCAGATGAAAAATGTGGAACTTGGGCCCCAGAGGGCTGTGGGTTCAAATCCAGATCAATTTGCTCATCAAAGGGCTAGGATTGGCATAGCTAGTGCTCCCCACCCCCTGCCAGTGACAGCTCCCCTAGTGTCGGAGTGCCAGCAGGGTGGCAGACACATAGTGGGTGCTTAGAAAAATGTTTATGGCTAAACCAGACATAGGGGTTCGTGCCTATAATCCCAGAACATTGAGAAGCCAAGGCAGGAGGATAGCTTGAGATCAAGGGTTCAAGACTAGCCTGAGCAACATAGTGAGAACCCATTTCTACATTAAAAAAATAAAATTAGCCAGGCTTGATGGCACATTCCTATAGTCCCAACTACTCAGGAGGCTGAGGCAGGAGAATCACTTGAGCCAAGGACCTCAAGGTTGCAGTGAGCTATGATGATGCCATGGCACTCTAGTAGCCAGGGCAACAGAGCAAGACTCTATCTAAATATATATATGTATACATATATATATATGTATATATATATATTTTGTTTTTAATTAGTTGGGCATGGTGGTGCATGCCTGTAGTCCCAGCTACATGGGAGGCTGAGGCAGGAAGCTCACTTAAGCCCAGGAGTTTGAGGTTGCTGTCAGCTATGATGATGCCACTGTACTCTAATAGCCAGAACAACAGAGCAAGAGACTCCATCTCAAAAAAAAAAAAGAAGAAGAAAGAAAAGGAAGGGCGGGGGGGGGGGAGAGAGGAAAGGCTTGTGATTTGACCAGTTTTAAGAAGCTCTTGTTAAATGCCAGACCCTGGTAACCTCCTAGAAGGCAAAATCCTCAAACAGACTGAGGTCCAGAAAGGCCAAGTGAGTTCCCAAAGGTCACACGAACAGGGAGAGTCCACACCCTACACAGCCCCAGGGCCAGGGAGAGTAGCTCCAGTTCCCAGGTCCGGTCCCTGCCCTAGTCCAAGGCGACCCGCGAGGAGACATCGGGAAGCCCCCCTGCCTCCCTCTTCCTTCCCTTTCCTCTTTCCTTTCCCATAATTACACTGGGCAACAGGAGCTGTTCCCAGAGTCCACAGCTCCCTGGTGGCTGAAGGCCTAATCCAGTGATCTGCACACCCACTTTATAGCTAACCGAAGGGACGTGTGACCACCAGACAGTTCTCAGAAGGAGAAAAAAGCTAATTGGCTTTTGCTGGCAAGTGAATGCCCTCCCAGACCCAGAAGAAGCCTTATTGAATAAGCAAGGGCGGTGGGCAGTGCTAGGAGTTGGAACAGGATCCAAATCAGGCTCAGCCACCATGCCCTTGGCTTCCAGAGGCCAGTTCCAGGAGAGGAGCTCATGAAATGGGGAGATGGATACATTTGTTATGTATCCATCACATGCCGGTCCCTTGGTGGGCAGTGGGCAGTGGGCAGGTGGGCAGTGCTAGGAGTTGGAACAGGATCCAAATCAGGCTCAGCCACCATGCCCTTGGCTTCCAGAGGCCAGTTCCAGGAGAGGAGCTCATGAAATGGGGAGATGGATACATTTGTTATGTATCCATCACATGCCGGTCCCTTGGCTCACAAAATCCCTGGCTTTATCCCACTTTACAGCTGTTCAAACTGAGGCTCAGAGAGTCCAAGTCACTTCCCTAAGGCCACACAGCAGAGCTTAGATTTGAAGCTAGGTCTTTCTAATTCCAGAGCCCAATTCTATTGTCTTGCCTCTAAGTGATCAAATGCTCCAGTAACTACCCAAACAGCGGCCCCACTGAGGAAGCACACAACAGGGAAAATAACAGCTTTCCCATTTACAAAGCATATAGCAAGGAACAGGGAATCACAGAAATCCTATAAAACGAACCACTGGACTCTGTTCCTCAGATCACTCCTTCCTCCCACGCTGCCCTGGGCCCCATGATAACACGTTTCCATATACTCTCTTGCTTCTGGGCAAGGTTCACCTGTTTCCTAGTCTTTGGGTTCTCTCTCCACTGGTGTCATATGCGGGGGCACCGTGCCCTAGTTCCTCTCCTGTCCCGTTGTCACATGTTAGTTACTGAAATCCAGCTGGACTTCCCTTTGTACTGTGGGACCCAGGGCTCCATAGAGACAGGCCCATGGGATGAAGTGCAGTAAGGCGCCCAGACACTGGGGACCAAGCCGCCACAGCTTAGCTGAGCTTTAACTGTATGCTTAGCACTGCAGGGGGTCTCATGTGAAGGCTCTCTCAGTGCTCTCAACCACCTTACCAGGGAGGGCCTATTATTACTCCCATTTTACAGAGGAGAAAACCAAGACCGAGGCACAGTAGTTATATAGCTAGCTAGCTGATGAGCACATGGCAATTAAGTAGCACAGCTGGGATTTGAACTTGGGGCTGGCCCATGTCAGTTATCATTAGCATGATTATTATTACCATTATCACCAAGGCCAGTCCTTTTAAACAGCTTTAAATTACTGGAAAAGTCTAAAACTCCCAATGGGAGAGAAGGTGGCTTGGAGAACCCCACATGATGACATTGTTTACCAGTGTACAGACCTGGAATTTTCCAGGATCACGTGCTGCTGGGCCACAGCGATTCTGTACCTTCTCAAGTTTGGTCCCACCAGCTGAGCCCCAACCGTCTCAGGAGTCACATGCCACCAAACATTCCCCTTTTTTGTCATGTTGCTCCTTATCCCTGGATTTCCAGAAGCTTCCACTGGGGTCTCTTGAAACTGCTATTCTCTTTTCTTTGAGACTGAATTAGATTTCAGATGGTTGGCCGTGGACCTTTGGCAAACATGGCAGAGAGAAACACTGGGCTCAAAGGTAGTGGGTAGGCCAGATCTGGTGTCAGACACCAAGGCTGGATTTAAATCCTTTTATCTGCTGTGTGACCTCAAGTGAGTCACTACCCCTCTCTGAATCACTTTCCTTCTGTCGGCCAGTTTGAGGATTCAAGTGGATACTTAGCACACAGAAGACTTTGTGCATTGCCTAGTCCCTTACCCGGTCCCCTGCCCAGGCCCCTTCCCAGGCCTCATGGAAGACAATCACTCTGAGTTTTCCAGGGATGGATGGTCAGATGCTGCCCAAAGTCACTTTCCATGGATATGGTCAGTCACTCTTCCAACCCCAGTGGAAACAAAGGCCTGGGCTCATCTTGGCTGTAGCACCTCACCTCTCTGGGCCTCTGTAAGCAGGGTAATACCTCTCACTCTCAGGATCCTTGGAAGGATAGAGGGGAGGCTGAGAGGGCCATAAGGCTCAACACCTCACTAGCAGGACCTCCCTGCCATTGAGTCTGAGGTTTCAGATCAGATGTGCCTGATGTTTTTCTTTTTATGTTCACCCTGCAGACCTGGAAAACCCAGAGTTTAGGGGTCTAAACTGGGAGGTTCAATGGTGCAAGGGTGTGGGATGCAAGGTGATTGTATACCAGAAAAGTGGCCTGCAGCTCGATGTCAGTAACCTTGCTGTGCAGTGGGGCTTGGGGCTCACTCCTCAGCTCAAGTCCAACAAGGCCTGAGTTAGAACGTCCTGCATGCTGAGCACCTCCCTCTCCCTGGGCCCAGGTAGGGGGTCTCAATGATCCCTATTTTGCAGATGAGGCCACTGAAGCATAGGTGGGGGCAGGCTGTGACTTACACAGGATCACACAGGGGCAGCAGCAGTATTAGAACAAGTTCTTTTGACAGCAGGTCTGCAGGCCGTGGCTCCTGCCTCCAGCCCTGCTACCTGACCTGCCTCATGGTCACTAGAAGAACGGAAAGAAAGAACATCAGCAAAAATGCACGTGAGATCCCAAAGCCCGTGCTACGCTGGTTGCCTTCATTCTGTGAGAAACCTCACTTTGTCTCTTTTTCTCATCAGTTAGAGAAAATTTATTTTTCTTTTCTCATCAATTAGAGAAAATTATTTTTCTTTTCTCATTAAGTAGGGGAAATTCTCTCTCTTTTTTTTCTCCTCTGTGCCCAGTCCATGTTGGAGACTCCATGAACTTCTCATTAAATTCCAGCCCACACAATACGTCCCCAAGACAAAGAATATTCTTCTCATTTTGCAGATGAGAAGAATGAGCTTCTTCATAGAGGCGGGATCATTTGCCCAAGATCTCACAGCTGGAGCAAAGGCAGGAATCCAAGTGGCTAAGATGGTGGGCTCCGCAGCCAGCTGCCTGGGTCCACATCCTGGCTCCCTGCTTGCCCTTCCTTGCTTAGGCAAGTCACTGGACCTCTCTGAGAAGCCTCAGCTTCCATGTCTGTGAAATGGGCAGCATGAGTATCCTGGGAGATGATCTGTGTGAGACACTTTGCACAGGGCCTAGTACCCAGACACACTGAATAAATGGATTATTATCATCCGTGTATCAGCATTTGTCACTTGGAAGGGCTGGACTTTAAATCTGGGCCCACAAGGCCTCTCCCGTCTGGCCAGCTCTCATGCTGCCTGCTTCCTTCTGCTGTTGCAGGATGCGCGACGGCCCAGGGTGGGGCAGAAGATGAAGGAGAGGCAGAGGCAGGTTGGATCGAGGGGGCAGCCATTCTCCTCTCGGTCATCTGCGTGGTCCTGGTCACGGCCTTCAATGACTGGAGCAAAGAGAAACAGTTCCGGGGCCTGCAGAGCCGCATTGAGCAGGAGCAGAAGTTCACCGTGGTCCGGGCTGGCCAGGTCGTCCAGATCCCTGTGGCTGAGATTGTGGTCGGGGACATTGCCCAAGTCAAATATGGTAAGTGTCTCAGCCTCACAGCCAGATTCTAGAGCTAGAGTCTGCACAGAGGTAGGATGGAACAGGCAGATACAGAGATTGGTCCAGGAAGGGGGTGGATTCCTAAAGGCTGATCCCAAAATATTCCCAAGGAAGTAGAAGGGCATTTCCTGGAGGAGATTAGATCATAATCCATTTAAATCAGAAATGGCAGGTGGTGCCCGTGAGTAGGGTGCCAGCCCTATATACCGAGGGTGGTGGGTTTGAAATCAGCCCCAGCCAAACTGCAACAAAAAAATAGCCAGGTGTTATGGCGGGCACCTGTAGTAACAGCAACTCGGGAGGCTGAGGCAGGAGACTCTCCTAAGCCCAAGAGCTGGAGGTTGCTGTGAGCTGTGATGCCACAGCACCCTACCAAGGGCGATAAAGTGAGACTCTGTCTCTAAATAAATAAATAAATCAGAAATGGCAAATACATGGGACATGTGCCACAATTCTCCAAACTGCTACCTCTAGCAGACATTACTAATCAATCACAACACAAAGCCTGGCTACAGCCTGAGACGCCTTCTCAACACAACATTCTAAGGACCGTGAATCCTCAGAATACGTTTATGAGGTTAAATCTGTTTTCCATCCCTGATGTGGCTGTTGAGGAGGTGTTAGAGGGAGCAGAAGTAGATGGGTGAACATTCTGGGCCTGTGCTACTGCCATGGAGAAAGCAGACAGCTGGTTTGGACCAGACATGCCCGATGTAAGTAGAGGCAGGAGGTAGAGGAGAGATCGGATGCACCTCCTCTCTCAGCCCTAGAGGGCTTAACTTTCCTTACCAAGACAGACCAGTCCTTTCCAAAAGAATTTCCCTAAAACTGAAGGTGTCAAAAAGAAAGGAAAAAAAGCATTTCCCTAAATTGTAACAGAAACTAGAGAAAAACAAATCATTAAGTAAACCAGGCTTCAAATCCAAGCCAAGCCAAGAGAAAGACTTCATAAAGTACATGTCCACTTGAGCTAGAGTTGCTGTTGGGCCCAGCTCCAGCCCTCTAGGCCTTGTACCATTCACCACGCTCCAGTTTTACGCTGCCTTCTGGCCTTCAACAGACGCCGACTTGGTGCCGATACCCTGGGAGCTGTAGACATCTGTTCCTCCATGGTGAACCTTCCCTCATAATCACACCTTTAGGAGAAAGTTCAGCCTCTCCAGCCACCTAAAACCTACTGACTCCCCCCCTTCCTCCCACCAGGTGACCTCCTCCCTGCCGACGGCCTCTTCATCCAGGGCAATGACCTCAAGATCGATGAAAGCTCCCTGACTGGGGAATCTGACCAGGTGCGCAAGTCCGTGGACAAGGACCCCATGCTGCTGTCAGGTGAGCTGCAGCCCAGTGGTGGGCACGCTACCGTTGCTGGTTCCCGCCCAGTATGAAGGGGAACACCTGTGTTTCCCCTTCATGAGGCTGAATGATCACAGAGACTTTGATGCTTGGCTCTGGGATCTTGGCCAGCTCAGCCCCTAATGAGAACACATCCCTTTTTCCCAAACAGACAGCAACACTCCGCGCCCAGGGAGTGAATAAACTAGACAAAAAGCCCTACCCTCAGGCACTTACCTTGCAGTGTCTTAGTTTTCTGGAGCCCCTTCACATCAGGGATTCGAAAGAATCAGGTAACAGTCATTGTGAACACCTACTGTGTGCCAGGCACTAGGCCAGGTACTATGGCTACAGCAGTGAATGAGGAAGACAAGGCCCCAGCCCCGAGGAGCCTGCAGTGGGGTGAGAAGCCAGAGACGATGCAAAACTTCCAGAAGGGCCAGGAGTCTGGAGAAAACAAACAGGGCAGTGGGGCTGGGAGGGCAGGGAGGCGACAAAGTACGGGAAAGTGTGGATGATGAGAGGGGCTGGCCTGTGACTGCCCAGGGAAGAGCACGCCAGGCAGCAGGGGCAGCAAGGCCACAGTCCCAGAGGCGGGACCAGACTGGGAGTCAAGCAAAATGGAGAGCATGGAAAGGCCAGATGTTAGGCCTCATGGGCCATGGTTAGAGTTTGGAAATCATTCCTAGTGTGAGAGAGACGCTCCTGAATGATTTCAAGTAGTGAGCTGATAACATTTACATTCAAAGTTCACTCTGGCTCCCGCAGCAGGTGAGAGAAAAGGTGAGGAGACCTTGTAAGAGTAACCCTTCCGGCAGGTGTCACCCTTCCCACAAGGACACCCAAGGGCCTTACCAGCCAGCGGTGCTCAGCAAACATCCTCCAGAAAGCTGCTCAGGGCCAGGCCTCAGGCTGAGCCCAGGGACTCCCCACTGCAACTATGACTCAGACCTAGTCCCTGCCCGTGGGAGCCCCAGCCTGCATGGGGAGCAGATCTACAGACAGCTAGTGCCACAGTGGATGTGGGAGGGAGATGTTGTGAGGAAGCCAAGAGGGAGCAAAGCTCCCCAGAGGAGGTGGTGCTGAATTGGGTTTTAAAGGATGAGTAGGAGCTCGCTAAGTCTAGAAAGCACCCTCCTGGCAGAGGCAACCATATGCAAAGGCACAGAGATCTAAAGGTATGTGGAGTGTCTGGTTAAAACAAAAGGAAATATCAGCAAGTCTTCTGAGTAGGTGACAGAGAGGAATGAGAATCAAGGCTGACTCTCTTATCCAGAATTTACTCAATCAACATCTATTAAGCACCATTGCGTGCCAGTGGTTAAGGAAACAAACAAGGTCTCTGCTGTCCTGGAGCTTAGAATCTAGTAAAGGAGAATCCAATAAAGGAACAAGCAAGCAAATGTGTGAGGTCATTTCAGAGAGTCAGTCAGAGGAAGATGTGGTACCATTCATTGTAGAAGATAGAGAGACCCAGAGGAAGGGGACAGGGATCTTAGCTGGTCAGGGGAGGCCTGTCTGAGAAGGTTACATTTGACCTAAACCAGACCAATGAGAAGAAAGAGCATTCCACACAGAAGGACAGCAAGTGCAAAGGCCCTGGGGTCTGATGGAGAGATCATGGAACTCTCGGAATGCCCTCTTAGAACACAGAACCACAGGAAAGCTTAGGAAATGGTCATGGCCCTGTGGCCCTGGTTCTGACCTCAGGGATGATGTGGTTGACAGGCACTCATCCTTGGGAGAAGTGGCTGGGTGTGTTGTGTGGATCTGTGGAAGCCCAGGGTAGCCTAAGTGTATGGGTGGTGAAGGCTCCAGGCAGTTTGCAGAAGGGGGATGAAGGAAGGATGCTGGCAGGAGACTGGAGAGAGAACATGTTCAGAATCACTGGCCCTACCGCATCCCAGCCTGCCAAGGCAGCAGGCGCAGGTGCAGAGACCCTGGAAACGACCTGGGTGGGCAGAGAGAGAAAGGAAATAAGCCAGCTGATCTGGGGTGAGTCATGGGATAGCAGGTCTCTGGGAAGAGATAGCAAGGCCCAAAGGGCTCAGAGGTGCCAAATATAAACAATGCCAGACAGAGAACAGGAGCAGAGGCCTGCTCAGGGCCAGAAACAGAGAGAGGCGAAGCTTCGGCGGCTCAGTGAGTACCTCTCTGGCTCCGTGTCCCTTCATCGGTCAAGGAGAAGACCATGTAACTGGGGAGGGACCACAGATGTCTCCAAAGCAGGCAGAAGTCCCAGAAGACCAAGGCATCCTACAGGAGAGCCAAGGCCTGAAAACCAATAGAGAAGGGAGGGAGCTCACCCCTCCATGGAGAAGAAAAAGGGGACAGGGATATTCCAAGCCTCAGTGGAACTTGCAGTGAGTCCTGTGACTTCCAGGCCACAGGGGACAGCATTGATCCTTGGCAAGATTCCCAGTCAGCTCAGGAGTGGTGGCTTGCCAACAATGGGACAAGAAAGGGTAACCACAAGTAGCCACCATGGGCACCCTGGGACCAAGTTGAACCAGCAGCCTTTGTCTCAATCTATATGGCTGTCAGGAAGTCCAGGTAGATGGAGTAGGCCTGGGGCCTCTGATGTCAGGGGCAGCAGCCAGTGCCCTGGCTTGTCTTTATGAGCAAAGAGGAGGAGGATACTCTGGAGCCCAGTGATCTCAGCCGGCTCATGCTGATTCTTGGGTCGCTGGTAATCTAGTGGCAGGTGTCTAGCAAGCTCACCTGGAGCTCTCACCTGTCACAACATGGAAATTGTGCCCCTCAGACTCACGGAGACCACAGGTGCAGCACGGGTGGCAAAAAGAAAGCAAGAGTCAGGACTCGCTAGGATGGCCACAGAGTGCAGGATGAAGTAGATCAAAGGAAACAAAACGCAGGGGCGTGCCAGCAGCCAATTTGGCGGATTGGAGGGGTGAGGGAGTGTGGCTCTGCTCAAACTCATGGGGAGAAGGCTGCGAAAGGGTGCCGTGGGCCCAGTAGAAAGAAGGGTGATTAGAAAGAGAAGAATTCTGGTGAGGTGGCTCGTGCCTATAATCCCAGCATGCTGCGAGGCCAAAGCGAGTGGATTGCCTGAGCTCCAGAGTTCTACACCAGCCTGAGCAAGCACAAGACCCTGTTTCTAAAAAAATACCCGGGCGTTGTGGCAGGCACCTATAGTCCCAGGTACTTGGGAGGCTGAGGCAAGAGGATCACTTGAGCCCAAGAGTTTAAGGTTGTTGTGAGCTATGACACCACAGCACTCTACCAAAGGTGACAGTGAGACTGTCTCAAAAAAAAAAAAGAAAAGAAGAGAAGAACTTGTAACAGACAGAAGTGCTGCTCCAGGGCAAAGGAGGCTGCCCGAAAGGTAGCAGGTTCCCTGTTACTCACTGTGTGTGAGAAGGGCCTGGACAGTCTATGGGTTGGGGTATTGGGGGTTCACTGCCCCTCCCAGCCCTGACTCGCTGCACTCCATCCCTGCCCCACCCCCACACCTCTACAGACCCCACCTCATTTTGCTCTCTCCAACTTGCCTCTGTGAGGCTATTCCTTCATTTACCTTCTGCCCACCTGCTCAGCCCCACCTCCTCCATGAAGGCTTCCCTGACCCCCACTGCCCTGTAGCAGTCACCCCTTGACTGCCTGGGACCCGCCGTTCAACCTGGGCCGCTCCACTTTGTGTTTGGCCCATTCAGGCACAGACTTGTCCTGCTGACTGAGTTTTGCAGTGTGCAAACCATCCCAAATAAGATAAGGAAAAACATCCATCTGCAATCCTGGCACTTTCTGTCCTTGGCTGTGTACAGACAGACAGACACTGTGACTTGCTTCTGTGTCCATCCTCCCACCCAGACAGGCCCAAGCAACTGGGAGCTCAGGAGCTTGTGCCCAGCTTCTTCCTTGGCCCTTGCAGACCTTAGGCACTGTCCTCCCCAGGAAGCAGCTGTGCAGTGTTGTAGAAAGAGCAGAGACCCAGCCTGAGTGCTGGAGTGAACTTGCTGTGTGACTTTGGGTACGTGAGTTCATGTCTCTGAGCCTCAGTTTCCCTGTGAGGACAAGAGGGATGTTGGGGGTGGTGTGATGTGGGTGGATCCTCTAGCACAGTGCCGGCATGGGGAGGCTCCAGATGGGTTGGTTCCCATCCCCACTCCTTGCATGGAGCCTGGACTAAGGGGTGAGATAGGCTGGGGTCCACTCCCAGCTCTGCGCCTCCTGGGTGGGGGCGCCTGACAAGCTTCTCCTCCTTTCTGAGCCTTTGTTTCCTCCTTTGCAAAATGAGATAGTAAGCCCAGCCCATGCACAGTGTTGAAGCGTGGAGCCTCCAGAAATTTCCATTTCTCCTCTCTTCGTTCATCCCTTTTCCCTCTCTGGGATGCCCCTTCCCCTCCACCATCAGCCTGCACCAGCCTGCCTCAGCCTGCCTCCTCCAGGGGCTTTTCCTTGACTGCTGTCTTCCCCAGTGCTCTGAACTCACTGCATAATAGACATTTGGATGCTCGTTTTGTGCATGACCAGACACCGTGGACCCTTGACATACGTTGGGAAGGCTTGCTGGCCTTCTGGTTGGATAACCCTCAAGGAATAGGGAAAGATGGGGCTGGGTGTTTTCAGGGTCCTCCCGATGGTTCAGAAACCCACCAGGGGCATCTGACGCACTGGGTCCACCTAGCAGAGGGCAGAGAACACCTGGTTCCAGGGAGTTGGTCCAGCTATGATAGGCCTGTGACCCTGGACGTGTCCCCTCACCTCTCCTAGCCTCCGAGAGTATTTAGGCATTGGAGGAGCTGGTGGGGCGCCCACTGGAGACCCCACGGTGCTGTTGTGGGGACCACAGGCATGAACAGATGTGCCTGGCCTTTGCAAACTCTGCAGGTGTGAGATGCTGTGTGGTGTAGAACCAGCAGGACACCTGGAAGCCAGACACCCAGGTTCCAGCCCTCCCCTGGCTCGCGCCTCTGCCCTTCAGACCAGCAGTTTCCCCATCTGACAAACAGGGGCAGACCAGATGGCCCCAGTGC